TTGGACCGATTGAACCATATTGTATACGAACAATCTTTGATAGGCCCATACTATAATTATAGATCTATATAATATCCGAAATTTGCGGGAAAGGATGATATTTCAGAGTGTTCGGAGAAATAGTGCCCAGCTTTATTTTCCCGAACGTTCGGAGAAATAGTGCCGGCCTTTAAAAATGGATTGGATTGACCGGATATGACGCAAAAATGACCCTTCAAAATAGGGTACTCCTGTCCAATTGGCCAAACGAACACTGGAAACACTCAATCGATCGTCACGAAACATAAACACCATTGTTGTGAAGATGTAGGCCTAGAGCGCTCTCTCTCCTTTCAATGGCCTTTCAAACAAGAAGGCCCACCTGGACGTGAAGATGTAGGCCTAGAGCGCTCTCTCTCTCCTTTCAATGGCCTTTCAAACAAGAAGGCCCACCTGGACGTGAACTAAAGCCGCTATCGCTATACAGTGCAGCCTCTCTATAATGGCACACATCGGGCTATGTCGGGACTAGAAGAAAATGTCGTTATAAAGAGTTGTCGTCATAGAGAGGCAACCCAAAATTACTAACGATATATATATAGTAGAGGCAATATCTGGACCTGGGCTCCATACAGAGGATGTCGTTATATCGAAGGTCGTTATTGAGAGGCTAAACTGTAATAGGCTAGCGTAATAATAAAATGCATACGTATCGATCCCCGGGCAACGGCGATCGCGCACGGTCAGAAGCGGGTGCGTGGCTGGTACAACCGAACTACCTAATAAGATAAACATCAAGTAACTAAATACTTGAACGTAATGAAACAAAATATAGCTATATAATCAGATTTAATAACATTAAAACGTGTCTGAGCATTTGTTTGACGATCAAAGCAAGATATCTCGGGGGCTTTTTTGCAGGCTGTCCCATGCAGGCAAGGACTGGGTAATTTCAAAAGAGGCCGGGTGACTTTTAACTGCGCCTTTCAAGCAGTAAAATGCATATATACTATATAGATCTAGGCCTGGTCGAAAATGGTAAAGTTGAAATGACAGAGAGATACATGAACATGGGAAGGCAGAGAGAAAGAGACAGACAGACAGACAGACAGACAGACAGACAGACAGACAGACAGACAGACAGAGACAGAGAGGGAGATAGAGAGAGAGACAGAGATGATTAAATGAGAGTCAAAGATTATTAAAAAGAGAGGCATACATGATTAAAACATTATGTGTGTGTGTTTTTTTTGTGTGTGTTTTTTTGTTTTAGTATAGTTTTACGGCGCTCTCAACTGCATAAGGTCATATGAGCGCCAAGGGGTGGGTGTCAACAGAGAAGTCCTTACAGGCAGGGAATCAGGCTTACCCTGCTCACCTCTCTAGTTTCAACAGCACAAAGTCTGCTTCGACTATCAAGGCACCCCGGAAATAGCAGGTCACGAGAGTGTGACAAACATACAAAAAAAGTAGAGGGGAAATGACGATAGTAAGGATTAGGAAAGAAAAAGCAGCAGTCCCCTGTTCAGTGGCGTCGCGTGGGTTGTAGACAAGGTGGTGCATAATTGGAAAGTGAACAAATGGGTAATAGGCTTACTAGCTACTATTAAAATTGTAATGAGCGGTAGGCGGGCGCTCTGGTGTGGTCTGTTCTTTCTATTGCTTTCTGCGAGTCTCTCTGTGTGTGTTTGTATGTATGTGTGTGTTTGTGTGTGTGTGTGTGTGTGTGTGTGTGTGTGTGTGTGTGTGTGTGTGTGTGGTCAAGAGGTTTACAGTGTTCTCTCGTGAAATAGGTCCCGTGTTCGAAACCTGACAGTGAAGGGAAATGTTCTTCTCTTAAATGTTCTCCTTTCCCCTTCTTTCTTGCTTTCTTAACATGTTCTATCGGCTGCTTTCGTCTCTGCTTTGTATCCCCAACCCTACCGTCCCTTTTGCTCACGCTAAAGATCCCCTTTTGCTCCCTCCTCTAGGCTCCTGATTTTTTCTGCAGCCTTTCTACTGCTACTCCATGGCTCCTTCTTACTTCTGTCTTTCAGCCACACCCCTGTTCTTAGGGTAGGTAAGATCTAACACCTACCCTTTCCGGATGACGATAAAAACTCTTGGAGGTCGTGTGTGCAAGTTGCGCACGTTAAAGATCCATGTCCTGTCTTAGTTTTGATCGTGGATAATTCTTGTAAGTTCTTTCACACGATGTATAAGTACGGAATCAGAGACGGAAGTTGTACACTTTTTTTGTATTTTTAGTCACAGAGAACTCGTTTCTACGCCAAACTGTCATGGCTGAAAAGGGGCCCCTACCAGAAGGCAGATTGGATCATTCTGCTCCAGAAACCCTGTCTTTGAAAGAAAGGTAAGTTTTTATTGTCTGTTGTCTTGAAACCTTGAAGTTACTGTATATGAACTATCAACTGAACTATTTAGACCCGTTCATGTGGGAATATAGGGGCGTGTCCAAAGGCTGAGAAAGGCTAAAAGGTCTGAAATTCGGCCACCTCTATTCTCACCCCGAGTGAGAACTATCAACTGAACTATTTAGACCCGATAGCTCACCCCGAGTGAGAATAGTGCAGGCGAGTCTTGTGGCTATTCTCACCCGGTGCGCGGTCACCAAATTTTGCGTTCACCCTAAACCACAGAATTCTACACTGTGATAACAGAAAAATTGTAGAATTCTGTGCCGTGAACAAACGTTCCATTACAACTGTAGCCTACTAAAAGCGTACAATTTTGTCTGTGGGCAGTGGAGAGAGAGAGAGAAAGAGAGAGAGGAGTAGCGCGAGAATTTCCGGGCAAAACAAAACGGCTCGATCCGAAAAGTTAAATAGCCGTAGCATCTTTTTGTAGACAACCAAATTAATTTACTTTTGTGTTTTAACATCATTTTTTAACTTTGTTTTGGTCAATTTGATCGTCCACACCGATAGACAGTATTCAGAAAGAGACAGAGAGAGAGAAAAAGGGGGAGGAGTTGATCTTGCGAGTACTTCCGGGCGGGTGAGAATAGCCACTTTCCTGAAATTCCTGAGACCTGTGATGAGTAATAATATGAGCAATTGCCAAAACGTGAGACTCTCTTGAGACTCAGTGGTGCAAAAAAATTTTTCTTACCAATTTGACTCTCTTTTCTGTCAGTCACAGATTGACATTTAGTGCTCATATTCCTAGAGTATCAGAGCAAGGAGATGTACGGCTTTGGAGATATGGGTCTATTGGTTTGGCAACTACTGTATTTCTTGTATGTAACAGTGATGACAAAAACAGATAAGCAGCAAGGCAAATTATAGACTTTAAATTCCATTTGTTTAGTAAACAAACACTTTGTACACTATGAACTCCATTCATAATGGTAATATGAATGGCAAGCTTTGTAACAATGACGCAGTGCACAGAACATGTCATCATTGTTATGTACAAGAAAGGATACACATTGGACATTATCATTGACAACACATCACAATACTGAAAGGCTGTACAAATACAGTTATCAAAACCTCAGTACCAGAAAAACACATGTGTAAAACAATTTTTAAAATAATATAGCAATGCCAATGAAAATTTAAATTTTCACTTTTGCCCCCTTTTTTTTGGTACCTAAGAAAGAATTTTCAATTCTAATAATCATA